TATATATATATATATATATATATATATATATATATATAGGACTGTTTGTGCATACGACCCTCATTCTCGAATTTAGCTCCCAACGTTCATTAGTCCCCAAGATACATACTCAACTAAGTCTATTGTTTTTTATTTTTTGCAGTAGATGGAGGGCTTTATATCGTTCAACCCCCCACTCGTCCCCCTTTTCGTCTTGGTCCGATTCGCACGGCCCATAAATTCACGAGGCGACACAGAAAATAGAGCACAATAGCGCGAGTAAGGCGGTGTTTGAGACCACCCCGCAGAACTTATCGATGGCCCTCAGGCCCCACCCACCCGCGATCACCGTTCCAAAGACGAGGATCATCATCACCGACAACGCGCCGTAGCCCCGCATCGGCTTTGGCGCCATCAATTGAAGCGGCAGCACGACGAGAAGGATCCACGCGCACAGCACGCTCACCAAGAAATTCGTCAGGTACCTCTCCGTGAAGATCCGGCGCACGCCGACCCGCATTCGCTTCGGCGGCCGCCCCTGCTTCGCGCGTTCCGCGTTCTCGTTGTCGAAGTCATCCCACTTGTTTTTCGTATCCTCGGCGAGCTTCACACGGGTGATCGGGTCCTGCTCCTGCGCGGCGGCCTCCATCGCGAGCTTCCGGTGGAGGTCCTCCTGCGCGGCGGAAAGGATATGCGAGCAGGCGGCAATGAGCGCGACCGAGCTCAGGATGCCCGCGAACAGCAGCATGAGATCGACGCTGATCATCTTGAGCTCGCCATTGGAGGCCCGGCGGGGTGTATGGGGCTGTGGGATTTTCGGAATTACCGCCCGAAGCAGCTCCGGCAAGGCCGCGCTCACCGCCGCGGGTTGGATCCTTCCCGCGCCGAACGTCGTGGCAAGGATCCCGTGGGCGCCCGTCATGGGGTACTCCCCTGTGAAAAACATGACGAGGACGCCGACCAGGGCCAAGACGAGCCCGCTGCACCAGACCTCGCAGGATCGCTTGAGATCCTTCACGAAGGCGTAGCCGGTGTACTCCTCCTCGACCAAAAACGGCTCCGTGACGATCTTTCGGGGAGCCCGCTTGGGCACCCTCACCGCCATCATCTTACGCGCCTTCAGCTGCCACGAGGCGAATTTATCCGCCAACGTCGTGGGCTTCTGTTTCGGTGAATTCTTAGCCATCAGAAATCAATAGGTTGTATATGAAAGTTCTCCTTCTCTTATTATTATTATTATTATTGTGAGCTACTAGTCGTTTTAGGTGGCAAAGATTGCCGGTTAGAAACCAAAAAGAATATCGAAAAAAAGGGAAGGTGTTTTGATCATTTTCTAGTTATTAGCAAGATCTCAACACCATAACTGAGAAATCAGGAAAACGAAAATAGATCAGGAAGACAATCGACACGTGAGGGATTGTTGTAGTGGAATCATTGCACTGTGAAGATCATATTGGAGTAAACATTATGATCGCTTTACCCTCCGCGTGCAGCATATATAGAGATAGAATCCACCCATTAACCGACCAACGTTTCACCAACCTCGCTACCATTTACTATCAAGAGAGCGACCCTCATCTCACTGCTCTAGACCGTATCCGAATGACAACGATCCTACTGATATACTGCACCGAGAACCCCACGAACCTGCCCATGGCATCATCCCAGCCTGAAGGGTGCACATGAGGGGCGGGGAAATAAAATCACCCCGCGTGAGATCCTCCCGAGGGTTCTACCTCCCTTCCATTTTTTTATTTTTTTCCAGAGGGGAGGGG